GTTAACGTAATTTCCTTAAAAAAGAGGTCAAAAGTCCTCACTTTTCGTATTAATATATTTATATAAAACCCATAAAAAAAAATTAGTTAACATATAATGTTATCAATCAGTATGAGGAAAAAAATAAAAACAATACTCGTAGTTGACGCCAAGTTTTCAATTAAAATTACTGTGCGATAACAAAAAAATGCGTCATATTTTGATGTTTACTAAAATTTTATACACGTACGAAACGTAACACACACATGTAAATAAAACGACAAATACGTAAGGAAACAAAACAATGAACATACGCGAAAGAATTTAAAACGACATATGTGGACATATAGTTTCATTCAAACTTAATGCCAGCTCGTAATTTGACACGAGACGTAGCAAAGAAAACAATTTTAAATATCTATAGGGCAGGTTAGGAGAGCCATATGAATCCTTCGATTGACTTGTATGTTCCGCTGGAGTCTTGCTGTATTAAAAGCATATTTGATACCATTTTGGCTCTGATTGTAACGATTTTCAGTTGTGTTGAAAATTTATACTAATATTAGAATTACCCGAAAATAACTTAGCGGTAAGACTAAGTTCCAATAGTCATTAGCGCATGCGCGGTGCGAGAGATTTCCCATTCACGCATGACAGCGCTCGCATGCGAGAACAGTTAGGTATCGTTAGTGCATGCGTTGGGCGATTTTTTTTATTTGTTTTTGTGTCTGAATGGCCACTGTTTGCCTTGAACAGGCATTTGCAGATTCACCGGGCTTGAGATGACCAAGCGCAGATGGCGCTTAGCCTAAACCTCGTTTATGAGTAACTAAGCTCGAGGGCACCCTCAGGAGCCTCGGAACGAGCCGTTACTTCGTTATTATTACCGGATTGGACATTGGGCGTAGGACGAAGTCCATACTTTTCCGTGCCACAAATTATACTTGACACTTGCTTTACATCGGCCGATCATTTTTAACAGTCGCTAGCCCTCATCCTGTATAATAATTGAGTTATTGAATGAAACAAAACCCGTAATTTCTAAGCAATTTACTGTCCCGCGGCTTTATAATAGATATCAATGTTTCTTTCACATGCAATCTTATCTTAAGTGCGCGACCCCCGAGCTTCGATAAAGTTTGAATGTTATTATACATTTAGTTGTCATTTCACGTTTCATTCATTGATTGAATAATTGAATGAGGTAATCCATGACTGGACATTACCTAATTCATTCATGTGACTAAATTGATATTGTAACTTTTTTTGAAAACTTTCTGCCAAATGTTTCTGCCTTATTCAAAAAAAAAACTGGAATATCGATCAGTTACTTTTGATGCTTTTACGTTGATTTTTAGGTTATAATAATTTAAAAATCAAACATTTTATGACGTTGTTAAAAGATCTACAATAATCCCTACATTATTAAGCGTAATTTTAACTGACATTTTTAATCAATATGGCAACTACGGTCTTACGTAATAACTAGTACTTACAAACAAGTCATTAATACATCTAAAATAGATTTACGTGGAAACAACACTCATTGAAGCTTATTCAATGGAGTTGACAAACAATTCCAACAATTCTCTGAGGAATTCATCTCAATGTATTGTGTTGTTACCTTAATATAAAGATCGGTACACACTAGAACGAATTAGTAGAATATTTGAATTATCGTTTTTAATAAATAGTGTAAATTTTACGACACATTTATCAAAAGTTTACATTTGCAAGATTTTTTCTCTGTCCGATAATAGATGGCGCTGTAAGTCGACGATAATGTAATCGAAACTAATTACATTTATAAAGATATTTTTATTGGAAAATTACATATTTTTAGTACATTGATAAAATTGTAACAACTACAGATTCAATTACTAGTAATCAATCCAGAATTTATGTTCAGAAGCTTTCAAACACAACGATTTTTTATCTGCGATTCTAATATCTAGGTTAATGGATGCACTGAATTGAAAAAATATTCTATCTCAATTCAAAGAATTAATATACTTTGATCATCAGTTCATAAAGATAACCAATTTAAAATAAAATCTAACCCCCACTTGAGATAGAAATATTTTACAACTTTTATTCAGTGGTAGAGCCCGCTTTAACATCTTCGCACGTATGGGCCGGCTCGCCCGGTGTAATACCACGACCACACAGATGACAGGCGTGAAGTGGGAGTAATTACGCGTACAGACTGATGCGTGTGCTTAGCGAATCCTAATTTTAGAAATCTCCTCCTTTCCACCCTTGGAATGGATAAGAGGGTTGCCATATAAAATACAAAATAATCGACTTTACTATTATTTTTAGAGTTTAAATTGTTAGTTACCACAACTTACTATGTTTTCTTGTTGAATTTTTCTCAAGTTTATTATAATAATCATACTTCTTACTAATATTATAAATGCGAAAGTTTAGATAGATGGATGGATAGATGGATGGATGTTTGTTAGAGTTTGTAGCCTAAACGGCTGAATGGATTTTGATGAAATTTGGCGTAGATGTAGAGGATCGCCCAAAAGAACACATGGGCTACTCACTTTTGTTTTTTTTTAATTCCACGCGGACGGGATCGCGGGCGAAAGCTAGTAAGAGAATAAAGTTTTAATTGCAATTAACTAATCTATGATTGCATTTATAAGTTGTGTAATGAATTAAAAATAACGCAAACCAATACGACTTAGGGTTCTTCATGAAGCGAGCCTATCACTTCTTCAAAGGCCGGCAACGCATCTGTAGTTCCTCTGGTGTTACGGATGTTAATGATCGTCGTTGACCACCGTGATCTCGCCGCTCGTTTGCCCCCTTTCATTATTAAACTAGCTGTTCCCGTGCGACTCCATACGGATAAAATTATGAAAATTTTGTTTTATTTTACATGTGTCAAACTATCAATTGCAAATGTCAAAGTGACATGACATGATGACAAAGCATGGCAACCTTGCTTCCTTGATGTTGGCAGGAATTTATGGTCTCTTTCCCACATTAGGGTTTTTATCCAAAATATTTACCCCCTATGTTTAATGGCGTGAAAATATATAGCCTAAAGCGTGACGTAAATGTGGGGCTTTTTATTAAAAAAGGAATTATTCAAAAATATGCTGTAATTACTGACATCTGAGGCAACAAAGAAGTGTGTGTTTACGGTTTATTATTATAGTATAAAAAAAAAACCGCAAAAATCATCAAATATAATTTCTGATATACTTTTTTACTTGTACAAAGTTTGTCTATTAATAGGAAAGACGGCGATAATCCTACTGAGGCTTTACTAAGACATAAATTAAAATGCAATTTTCTCTACTGCGTTAAATACATTTGACATTTTACACAGGGATGGAATGTATATGTATTTACTTTTTTAACAGAGGTAGAGCCCGCTTTAACATCTTAACACTGCAGGGCTGCCACGTCCGGTGTAATACCACGACCACACAGAAGACAGGCGTGAAATGGAAGCAATTCCGTGTTTCGTCTGATGAGTGTGGTGCCGGAGGCCTAATTTAAGTCCCTTTCTCTTTACCGCCCTTTTCTTATAAGGAGAGGAAGTGAATTTGACGATGGAGGAGATGCCTAGGCATCTAGGCATGCATGCCTAGCATGCCTAGGCATCTCTTCCTTCCTAGGAAGGGGAAATATCCTCTAATCTGCAATTGCGGATGTCTATAGGCAGCGGTCGCTTTCAATTTCAGTGGATTCTGGTGGTCACTTGCTCGTTACGCTTACATTATAAAAAATTAGAACAAAGCTGTAAATTATAATATAATATAAGTGAAAGAGAAAATATCAGCCCTAGTCCAGCCCTGTCTGTTTCTGTCAAATAGTAATCTGCATGCTAAACGGGATATAATCTTGTTTTATTTATTAAGATTCCTAACTCAAAGTGTCTTCCACTCTGAGGAAGAAAGCCTTTGCCTTCTATAATTTAATATTTTAATCTAAGACTCAGAAATGTATTAGACATACATTTAACATTTTCTGAATTGAATATAATTAAATTTTTATATCCAAGTAAATGAAAAGGCGATTTTTATAAATAACACTATATTGAACAAATATGTAACATACTGCAAAATAGTTTTCCTACTTTCTGATTAAAATATTCACCTCGGCGGGCCTATTAGGTTTGTTACTATACTTAGGACTTGTCCCATCGCTGGCTGATAGAGGGTCAGATAGCTTAAGCAGCGTCATTGTCATATAAGGGAACAAAATACGATATTTCAATTATATTTCCACAATTTGGTGGGACAGGCCCTTAATAATTTAATTTTAAATACGAATGACAGAGCATGCGTTATCTCATAAAATGATATTTACGAGTGAGTTCTTTACGGATTCATAGCTCATGAGTCATTCATTCTTTAGACAGGGTATAAATTAATCATCACCTGAGATGTATGTCAATTAGAGGTTAAAAAATAGATCCAAGGTTCGATTTTCACCACAGATAAATAAGAAATCTGGATGATAAATGATGAAAGAAAACTCGTTATGTCACAACTTTTCATTGAAACGTTTAAAATAAAGATCAAATAAAAAAATAGTTATAACTTTATTATTTATATGATGAAACTGTGATAGGTCTTTAAACAGTTAAACTTTTAAATTACAGATTAAATACGATTGAACAAAACCTTCTTACAATTGGATTCAAAACATTGACAGATTTACAAATAAACGCGGTAAAAATTTAAATTTAGGAATAAACTGAGTATAAGCAAATATTAGTACAAATTTTTAGTACAAATTTTTAGTACAAATATTAGTACAAATTTTGTTTATAATAAGTTTAACTTTATGCCGCGTTTCTTTGTAAGGCTGTAATAATAAAGTACAAAAATCTGCTACAAAATTCCAGACGCAAACATTGTGATATAAAACATTTATGCATCCCAAAACGGACGTACACTTGAAATATATTTATCCGTATCGAAACCGTATTAACATATATGTGTGTATATTTTCGCGGCATATTAAATCAGGTGTTTGTTGGCGGGAAACGCAGTTTGATTGCGGCGGCCATACTAAATAGACGCTCCCGCGCTCGCAAACGTCAGTCCCGCGCGCGCTTCGAAATTCGAAAAGTGACCGTTCGTTTTCTTTTTTTTAAATGTAAATTCCATTCGAACTGTCGGTGTTTCTTTTTATGTGAACAATGAACAGATAAAAGAAATTGTTTTTAAAAATAATTGTGAAAAAGTAATATTTTGAACTGAATAAAAAACCGTACAGTTTTATATTAGCATTTTCTTAAGACCCTTTTTGCTGTGTTTCGTGTTGACAAAAGCTGCCATGACTAACACGTAAGTAAAACGCTATTTTGCATAATTTAACAATAACAACGTCCTACATATTGTTTTACTTGTCACATTTCAAGGCAAGGAATCCTAAACGAAATATGTCGAACACATTGAAAGGCGTTAAAACGTAGACGTTAAAGATGTTAATGTATGTAAACGTAATTTTTTCTATTGTCTTCCTCCAAATATTTTCGTGCAAAATTATCATTAAAGTTGAAAACAAAAAACTTTTGTGGATATGTAAATTAAATTTTAAAAACACTACAGATTATAATCTCAATTTTGAATTAACTTTTAAACATGCAGAGATAATTTTTTTTTCTCTAACATTTAAGTTGCCAGTACTGTCTTATAACAAAGACTGGCCTATAAATTAAAAATAATCTTGTATACTTATTTAACGCCAAGTCCAATGGTTTGGGGATCATCTACATTCGTTTGATTTTTTGAATTAGTTTGAATTTTGTAAACGACGTTAAATTTCGCGTACTGGCTGTTCGCTTTTACTCATAAATTCTTAAAACATAAGAAAGTATAGATGTGTCTAAAAATAAACTACAAGAAATCTCTCCTTTGGTTGATGTTTTTGTTGGTTAGTTTTTAGTGTAGTGGGTTAGACAGGTTTTATAAGACGGACTCGACGGGGTGCCGTTGCCGGGAATTAAGGCGCCGACGTTTTGTTCGCAATGTAAAGACAGACACAAACTTAAGTCTATAGTCAACTTCAATCCCTTTGAAAATGGATATTTTATTTACATGAGCTTTCGTCCGCGTGGAATTAAAAAGAAAAAAAAATCTATGCCAAAATTTCATCGAGATCCATTCAGTCGTTAGGCAGCAAACTCTAATAAACATCCATCCACTTAAATTTTGGCATTTATAATATTAGTAAAATTTACTCTTGGCTTGGTTTCATAACGAAGTCATAAAATCTTCATTAAATTACTTTATTAAAATTTTAATAGCGTTATTATCAAACATCTCAAGTTACTATAGGTTGTGGTCTTTTGAATATAAAAAGTGAAACCTTATCTATGACCGTAAGTTATGTGTGGTTATTCATTCACGTGTAAACACCGTTACGATATTCGATACAGAATCGATTAAGATAATATTATCGAGATTATTACGAGATATCGATATCAGTAAAAAAATAAATAAAACTTTTCTTTTATAAATGTTGTTGTAGATAATATATTTGCGTTTTATTTATTTTCATACTGGCTGTTAAATGCGACTGCGTTCGAGTGCAATTAAAAAAAATTATGTTTTCAATCTAATGATTAGAGATTTCCTAATAATCGTACGTTTTAAAAAATAATACTTTTTTATCATAATTAAATGTAAAGAGAAATTTTCCTTACTGATTTATCGCGTTAAAATGACGTCACAGTCATTTAATTGTTTTTATGTATTTTATTTCTTATTCCTTGTTTAACCCTATCAACAGTTAAAGGAACTTTTTTTGTCAAATACCAAGGCTTCTGCTGTAAACAATTATCCGTATGAATGTTATCTCTGAAATTTATTAACTTATTAACATTATTTGATAAAACATAAATAAAGTGACAAGTGTACAGGGGAATCGTTTTATGTACAGACTAGCTGTTCCCATGCGACTTCATCCGCATAAAAATATGAAAATTTATTTTATTGTTAACATTTGTCAAATTATCAATAGCAAATGTCAAAATGACATGACATGACAAACCATGGCAATCTTACTTCCTTGATGTTAGCAGCAACTTATGGTCTCTTTCCCACATTAGGGTTTTTATCCAAAATATTTACCCCTAAGTTTAATACCCTGAAAATATATAGCCTAAAGCGTGACGTAAGTTTAGGGCTTTTTATTAAAAAAGGAATTATTCAAAAATACGCTGTAATTGCTGACATCTTAGGCAACAAAGAAGTGTGTGTTTACGCCTTATTATAATTGTATAGATTAATTACGTCTATAAAAACGTCATAACATACCAGAGATATCAGATGTATGAATCTTTGTTTACAGTTCCATCAACTTTTTACTTCCTGGGACTAATAAAGACTTGTCTATGGTTTTTATACATTTCAAACAGACTCTTAGTTCGTATATATATTTACTAATATTATAAAGGGGAAAGATTAGTATTTTTCTATGTATTGATATAAATAATTACTTTGTCAATTTCATAAATTCTTTCACAATTAAAAAGCCACGTTATGAAGGAGTAACTTAGGCTTTTTTATTGTTTTTTTAAAATGACGTGGCGGAAGTCGCGAGCGACATCTATCTATAATAATATTATAAAGAGGAATGATTTGTATTATTCAAAAACTACTAGACCGATTTGAAGAAATCTTTCACCGTCAGAAAGGTAATTTATCTGTGAGTAATATAGGCTATATTTTTTAAATTTGACGCGGACGAAGACACGAGCAACGGCCTTTTATAAATAAGAGGGTGCGCACACCTTTGACTACTGTTGTGCGATTGTCGATTGTTTCGCAGCATATTCAACTGTTTAGTTGCAACTAAAAATCTAGTAGTGTGAACCTTCATATAAGCTCATAGCAAAGCTTGATTCAATAGTTGTACGACGGTTCAGTCAAAGGACTTCTATTTTATTCTATTTCTTGTTTATGGCTCTCCCACAGCGGATTGGGCCAGTGTCAAGTAAAGTACTTTAATGTTAAAAATTACATTCAATATTGCTTTTAATAAGGAAACGTTACTTATTGGTGTAGGCCGTTATCGGTTGTTCACTCGTTTAAAGGGAATGAAGTGTTTTACAATAGATAAATAACAATAAACAGTTATTCCACAACAATTTATTTAAACTTCAGTTAATTGCTTTCTGGACATTTATTGACATATAAATTACAGTTAGTAGGTTTTATAGTAAAATAGCTGTTCTCATGCGATTTCATCCGTAATCCGCATGGAATTATCAAAATTTTATTTTATTGTTTAAATTTGTCAAATTATCAATTACCAATGTCAAAATGACATGACATGATGGCAACCTTGCTTCCTTGATGTTGGCATCAATTTATAGTATCTTTCCCACATTAGGGGTTTTATCCAAAATATTTACCCCTTAAGTTTAATGTGAAAATGTATAGCCTAAAGCGTGACGTATTTGTAAGGCTTTTTATTAAAAAAAAATAATTATTTAAAAATATGCTGTAATTGCTGACATCTTAGGCAACAAAGAAGTGTGTGTTTATGCTTTATTATAATAGTATTGGTTAACTGTTTATGTCCAGTTTTACTTGCAAAATCTTACATTAAAAATGCGAAAGTTTAGATAAATGTTTGTTAGAATTTGTAGTCTAAATTACTGAACGGATCTCAATGAAATTTGGTATAGATGTAGAGGATAGTCTGGAAGAACACATAGGCTGTTTACTTTTGTTCTAGTTTAATTCCACGCGGATGGAGTCGGACGAAAGCTAGTTTGGAAATAAATCGTTTAAATGAGCTTCCATTTTTAGCATATATGGCTTGAGTATCTCAATGGTTGAAAATGTAATTTCAATAAAAAAAAATATTCTTTAAAACATGGGTTACAACAGACTATAAAATATATTCAATTTTATGGGTTTAATCATGTAAATACATTTCTGCACGCGTTTTGTTCATATTTGAATTGGTAATATTACCTTGAGAATACATGGTCTTTTAGTGGATATTATAAGCGTTTCGGATCACAATTAACTATTAATATTTGAGGCCGAATATTTTATAATATTTCAACTTCTTGTAACGTTTTCAATGGAACTGATTAATTAATTGGGTAGACAATGAATTGTCAGCAATATGAAATAAATTAGTTAAAAAACTCTTTAACTACGTCGTCGTTGACTCCAATCAAACAAAACAATGGGACCCACCTGCAAGCATAACCTTTCGGATAAAAAAAGAATTATCAAAATCGGTCCACTAGCGGCGGAGTTATGCCGTAACAAACATTAAAAAAAAAACATATTTATAAAAAAAAGAAACATACAGACGAATTGAGTGCTTTCTTCTTTTGGGAAGTCAGTCAAAAAAATAAAGCTTTTCAAAAAGAAAATTGAATACACTGCAATAATCTACTTTGGTATTAGGAATTGCACGCTAACCTCAGTGGAATATGTAATGTACAATTACACAGTACATTTTCGATTAAGGGTCCGTTCACAAAAATAGAGCAGAGCAGATTCTTCGCAAAATTGAAGATCAAAACGAGACTTTTTGCATCCTTAAAGACGAACCGTGCTATGATGTAACTTTTCAACTATTATTAATTAACTTTATTCAAGATTATAAATTAAAATAAGTTTATTTTACAATACAGAATTTAACTTATTAAAAACAGTTAAATATAACTCGAGTTTCCAGTGCTAAATTTCGAAAAAACACGTTAAAATGACTAGTAAAAGCTATTAAAAGACAAAATCAAGATATCGTAATTCCTATATTAATTTTTTAATATAGCTGTTTTTAGATTTTCGCCTCTTTACATTTATACTTTTGACGTGTCTTGACCTCGGTCTATTCGTGACTGATCATGACTGATCTTTAGGAAAGTGTTAGTGTTGCCATGCCGTAGTTAGACGCCATTATCGTAATATCAATATTGCCATCACTTTTATTCCCTACGAAGAAAGAGATAGCAATATAGAGATCGAGTGTGTTCTCTTGTTAGGTAATCTATTTTAGAAAGGTAATAGTTTCGTCTTCGTACTGATTAAAATCGTGAAACACCATCCGAAATGTAACATTCGATCTCTTTAAATCAATCTTTGTATTGACATTAACAGATAACAGCAAAATATATTATGTACCTTTGCTTCGTTCGTTAAATGCTTTCTAAAATTATCATATAAAAGAATTTTATACTCTAATCTCAATTTTAACGATAAACCGTCGCTGTAAGGGTAATTGAGACGGCTATAATTCATTTTAACGACTTGTTTCTAAAGGCCAAATGCACTGCGATAATATTTCACGATTTGAATTTCGAACGCGTTCGTTT